TGCACCGGGTCGCTACGAGCAGCCGGGGGACGGCCGGGGGACAACCAGGAGACAGCTGCGGGTTAGCGACAGCGCAGGGAAAATGTGATGAATATTTCCAGCCAGACGTGAACGACGTGTCTGTAGTGATGCAGTGCTCGCTCGGGTCACCGGACGGTGACTGACTAACAGTAAAGTTCATTTACTGCGTCGTCACTTGCGGAAATTATTGTGGGACAGGTTTCAGTGAAAAAATATAATATGACTATGGTTAGTTTTCATAGCGAAGAGAAAGAAAATGCTTAGTTGATATAGCGTCTGTCACGGTATGCTAGAAGACGTCGGTTCGAATCCGGCCGGTTCGAAGGAATTTTTTCTGAGTGTTTGATCTTTGCATTATAACAAACTAGTGGAGCAATTTCACATAAAAAAAATTGAATATCAATTCAATAAAAATTCAAATACAATGAATAGCGACATCTCTAGCCAGGACTGGTAGCTGTAAATGTATCTAACTGGGTGACGAAATACTTAACATTTCTCATAGACAGCGCTACGGCTAAAAAGTCGCTGAATAAACCAAATACAAAGACACGACAACAAACACAGAAAAATTCGTGAGGTCCGCTGGTTCGTTCTGTGGCTTAGTTGGTATAGCGTCTGTCACGGTATACTAGAATACGTCGCTCCAAATCCGGCCGGATCGAAGGAATTTTTGTTTTGAGTGTTCGATCTTTGTATTAATAATTAGAACAATCTGGTGGAGTAATTTCACGTAACAATTGAATATCAATTCAATAAAAACTTAAAGAAATTGCTTGTTTCGTGAATTCACCTGCCTCTCATTCGGTAGCTTGGGACTTAAAATCTTTTTCTAACTGGGTTTCCCAATGGTATCTAGTATGATGCCCGTCATTGTTGTCGTCTTAATCAGTTGCAAAAACTCCTGTGCCACCCGACATTCACCCATTCGCGATCTTCAACCAATGCAGGCAAAGCAGCGTAGTCTTGACTGCCTGTTATGTTCGGCGCACGTTTGTTAGAACTTAGGCATACACATATTTACATATTAATATTTAGAATTCTCTTTATTTTGACGCGTCCACGCGTAAATCGCGTCAGCAGTGTTGACTGTGGCATGAAAGTAATATTCAACAAATATGAAGACATGCGGAACGAGACACGTGCATCGGCGTTATCACAAATCTGATATTATACAATTCAAATATTGTAATACATTCTGAGGCCTACGGCTTCGTCTGCGGCGCAAAATGGACAGGTAAAGTACAGGTAATTCTTTTGCAAAATTTACCTCCATATCCATTAGACGTATTGATTTAGTTAAAAAATATATATATATCAACTATAAAACTTGCAACTAATTTAAAAAAAAATTTTGGCTACGTTACCATTTATTACCTTTAGCAGGTCAATAGTAGTTTAGCTTTGATATCAATAATACGTTGTGCAAAAAATACTATAATGTCACAAAATACAAATGCACTGCAAAACAGTTCTTCATCTTTTAAAAACACAATAATCTACTGTTTTATCTATTGCGTTTGTTCAAATGTTTGCCTTCACTATCTTGTTAATGCTTAGATAGCCAATTTAACGTTTCTGTTGGCCGATGGCTTAACACTATACACAATTTACATGCAATTTAATGAATTACTTTGTCTACTATAGTCATTGGCTTTGTGAATGTCATGGGTGGTATGCTATAAAAAAGATCCTCGCTCTTGCTCAATTCCAGTACATAGATAGTGTTATACACATGCGTCGGGCGGTCGTCTTTGATTTTTTTTTCGTTAACCAATTTGTGCGCATGTTCAAAATTTCGATAAATTGTGTTTCATAATATGTTGTTCAAGTGAAGTGATTTTTTTTATGAACTACAAAATGTTGTGATCCGTTTCGGTTTCGTTTAGATAAAAGATAGGTAAATATGTCGTAAATAATTTAATGATTGAAAAAGTTCTTTTTTCATTCCAAATGTCGTGTGCTACGTACCATTTTGTGAATTGAACATTGTGAGAGCTGTTCACCTGTTTCACCTTACTGACTATAAAGCAATACAAAATACAAAACATTTTACATAACAGCGTTGAACGGTACATAGTATAGACAGTAAGAAAGTGCATAAGTGTCCGGGTCGAAGACGTTTACTTTTCCTCTATTACGAACATCTTATCCTGAATTCTTAACTGTTCTAAAATCGTAAACAGATGCGTGGTGCGACCTAACTCATCTCTTTTGTGATTGAAATTAACCTATTGTGCTTCGATTGTCGAGTTTCGTTTCTTAAATTGCTCTGTTATCTGTCTCACTCGTTACATTTTCGTGAATATATCCATGATACGTTTTTAGATGGAAGATTTCTCTTGAACTTGTTAACATATGTCTGCAGCTTTTTGGTTTTCATCAAATTCCCGCAAACGTAAATGTAAGTACATTATTGCAGAGGCCGGGAAGTAAGGGGTTGCTGGACGAGTATGAGTTACGAGGCCTTGTATTAGTAAGAGTCAAATAATCCCCGCCGAGTCATGTATAGTGCTTTTCTCAAGCAATGTGAGAAAATAATGAAAGACTAAAGAGAGGAAGATGTTTAATAGAAAAAGTAAAAAAAATATCAAAATAAATATTTGAAAGAAAATGTTATTGTTTTTCCCGGCACATTAAATAGTAGTCTGCTGAACTTCTGATGATGATGTGGTGGGATTTGTATCCATTGCTGTATTTTTGTAATAGCTCTGCTCACTAGAACTCATTTTCGCGACGAAAATACATACATGCTTTATCTTACTGCCTTTTTCTTTTCAAAAAAGTAAGCAGTACAGGTAGGTCTTTTTAATTCTAATAATTACGAACACTCGACAGTTGCCTGTATGTGTTTTTCTTTTGCCGATTTATATCGTTCATTGTTAGTTGGTTAGCGGACAGTAATGGATTTTCATACTTACTTTGCAGGCGTTGACCGGGAAGACGTCACACGGCCCATAAATGACAAATTTTCTGTGTTTGTTTCTTGAAAGTTAAGTACACACTTTCGAGCATGTTTGAAAAAATATTTTTCTCAAATATGGTCGGAAATGTTTGCAATACTTTCAACGTTGATGAGCCCGATGTTGAGTTGTAATAAATAGATATAGTAAAAAGGAAATTTGGCATTTCGGAAATAAAATTTATGAAAATCGCTACATTCAAATTCTGTGAATTTTGAAAGTGGTTTCGAACTCCGTAACGTTCGTTAGCCGAATTTAATTTATTCACATTTTTTCATGAACGCAAGTATTTTAAAGAAACTTACAATCATTTAGTTTATTTGTAGCAACCGCTAATTTATAACTATAACGATATTGGAAGTTTTGATACAGACACATTTAAATAAGTTTGTTTACCTAAAACACTAGAGAGTCATTTTCCCAAAAAATATTGCAAATAGCTTTTTATTACACTAAGCGACCGTTACGTCCAGAAGCATTACATTAGTAAAATTTATTCGTAGGATTTTATGAGGTGGCACAAGTGGTGATCACGTGAAGAGCCAATAAAACCCGAAAACTCTTGTTTTGACAAAGATTGTCAGCAATAAGCGGAATTTGCATGGCGCGTAAACAAGGATGAAAAATTGGTCGCGCCCCGCTGATGGGAAATTATGAAAGGAAAAAATGTTATTTTACGGGCATTAGGTCCGCTGCTCGCGGTTTCCGCGCCGGAAAATGTAGGCAATACTTTATGGTAAGTAATAGTAAGGGCGGTACCGAAATAGAGTTAGAATGATGAAAAAGAAACATAAGTCGGAGAATAAAAAGAAAACAACTTCCTTTCAGTTTCCTTTACTACAAAAAATAAAGAGGTTATTGAACGGTGAAAATATTAAATGAAACCTGCGTTTCGGAGAATTTCCACAATCGTCGAAAAAGCGTGTAATGTCCCCACTCTCGAATTTGGACTTAATTTTTAATCAAAGTTTTGTTAACTACGAAAACTGGATTCAGTATATTAATCTAAAAAGAAAAGTTTAAAACAGATCCCTCATGAACCCTACGCACTGTATGTGTAGGTAATACACAATAAGTAACAGGCCCCATTCCAGGTAGAGCAGGCGGTATAAAAAGTTCCACATTGAAATTTTCGTTTCGATAAACACGACCACTGTTTCAACGATTTGCAGCGTCAGTCGATTTCCCGACCAATTTCGATTGGTTTGTCAACAAATTATTCATTTGCGTTTATTCTATTTCCAACTAATGAATAGGTAGTCAATTATTTCCTAAAAAAACACTTGCATTTCATCAGTGTGTGCGTCTGATGACGCAATGTTTTTTGTTGAAAATCAATGTATTGTACAAGTCTAAATTATTTATTACTATCTACTTACCTCGTAGTAGCAGTAGAGCTCCTTGTGAAAGAGTCCGTCCAGGGAAGTACTGCCACCTTACCTATTTCTGCCACCAAGCAATAATGTCAGCATTACTGTGTTCCGGTTTTGAAATTACAGACATAATACGGGACTTGTCAACTTATGTCACAGGGTGACGGGCGCAGCGGCAGTGCGCCTCAGATCTTTGCGATTTAAAGCCCTGGGAGGCACTGCAACTGTTATGGACAGACGTGTAACTTACCATCAGGCGCAAGACTTGTTCGTTCCGTCACTTGATATTATAAAAGAAAAACCTAATACAATCGATGGTGGTAGACTATAGCCTGAACCCTGGTGTTGGTTTTGTAATTTTATAGGTTTATACAGTATCACAAACGCTGTAGAACACTAAAACCGTTTAGAAAAATATCAAAAACGATAATTAACAACGCAGAATAACCTTATCCTGTCACCCAAACCATAAAAGGGAAACCAATTTATCAAATCCCCCCGTTGCCTACCCTCATATATTTGTAACATTGCTATAATGTTAGATCAGCCATGCGAAGGGTCAGCCGTGAAAAGGATTTAGGTTAACAACGGCCTAAGAAATCTTTGGAATACTTTCGTAATATTGGGCTTTGTATTGTTGCAGGTTCCGGAAAATACTGTAATGAGACTCCCGACATACATTGTCTGTTGGTAAGTTGAACTTACGATTATACTGTTTTATCATCAAAACTTTCTTTAAATCAAAGAGGTTTTTCAGGCGAATAACAAAATATTAAGTGGAGAGATCGGAACGGCGTGGTAATTTAACTCAACTACATAAGAGGCATATTGTAGGCAGGCAGGGTGGAGGCGGCTAGTGCAGTGAGGATTCCATCGCTGCACTAGGTTCCATCGCGTTTGGATACCACTTTCCACTTAACATCAGGTGGAGTGGAGTCATTTGCCTGTCAGGTATAAAAAAAAAAAAAAAAAATCAATAACTAATTTTTGATAAAATCGGCTTTAAGCCCTTTCTGTTCTCCGAAGTATAGTTGACTCCCCAACCCGCGTCGGGTCAAGCATAAATAAATGGAATACTTTGTATTCCAATGACCATCTTTCTTATAACGCTGAATACAGTACAATGTACTTATTAAAAAAATGCCCGCCAGGCGCAATCAAGAGTCGCGCAGAGGGACTGTCTTAGTCACGTAGTGCGCAATCACTGGTATTTTAGATTTTTCGTCGTGAGACACTAATGGGGAAAGGTCATAGCGTTTTCATATAATATTACACAATACTCACTCGATCTCGTCGCTCCACTTTCAAGTTTCGAGTTCTTGTTTAATAAACTCGAAATTCTAAAATTCCATCACCTAGAATAGATGAAGATCAATTTACTAGTATTTATGTGATCTGTGATCAATTTCCAATCAGTAATAATAGCAGTGACTGAGAAGGGCCGCTGTGACATTCAGGCGGACATCGACCAACAGAACGTGACAGTTTGTAAAGCTTGATGTGGGGCGGAGGGCTCTCATTGTTCAAACTCAAGTTAATCGCTGCTGATGCTTTGGACCCGATATGGATTTTCATTATATTGTAACTATCTTTTGACGAACTATCAAAATTACTCTACCTCGATTAGAAAAGGGCGTGAAATGTCTGTATGTACAAATTTTGTATTTGCAACAAATAAATGATTGTTTTTAATATATTCTCTTCGATCTCTACTACATATTACAGATAAATAGATGTATAGATTAACACTTTATTCACTAAGATGACACAAAACACACAAATACAAACGGAGAAACAAAAACATTTTGTCATATCAGAGAAAGGGCGCAGACCCAGCGTATGCCACTATTCCCTAAGGGGCGTTGCTTTTCAGTCACAACCAACGAGAGGGACTAAATATAGGACTTATGAATATACGAAACGACTGAGTAAAATTATTAATTGAATTTATATACAGGATGTCCTGCGGCTATGCGACACAGAGGGAAAGTAATTTGTTGATAAAATATTTTGATTCATGGGGACATTTTTGCATTATTACTTACTTTTTGTCTCATCTGGGAATTGAACAGACCAAACGTGAAAAATAAATCCCGTATTTCATGGTGCCGATGGAAAGAGTGAAACATAAAGATTCATTCCTTCAAATAACATAGTATCTTGAATTAAAGGAAACACCGTGAAATTTTACATTTAAGTTTAGGAAAATTTATTTTTCTCAAACATATTCGGAAATATTTGCATTACTTTCAAAAAACGAACACGGAAAGTTTGTCATTTAAGGACCATGCCACTTCTTCCCGACCAAGGCCTGCAAAGTAAGTTTGAAACCCAGTACAGTCCTCTTCTCTAAACATTTAAATCTATCTACTAATAATTAACTATGTAAACAGGCAAAAGAAAAACTCATACAGCCAACTGCCCAGTATTCATAATTGCGAGAATTAATAATACCTACCTGTACCGCTTACTTAAAAAAATAGAAATATGGCGGCGGTAACATTTAGACTAAAATGTTTTGGTATTTCTTTGTTTTTTCGTCTTTCTGTATTTTGGTCGCGACAACGAGCGCTAGTGAGAAGAGCGATAACGAAAATACAGTAACGGGTAATACACATTCAAACGCATCACCAGAAGTTCAGCAGTCTACTGTTAATGTGCCTCGAAAAACAATAACGTTTTGTTTTAGCAATTGTTCTAACATGTCAAATATTAATTTTAGTATTAATTAATATTTTTTACTTTTCTATTATACATCTTCTTCTTCTTTTTCTTATCCGCTCATGCGATTCATGCGTCTCTAGAAGCATACCACACCTAGAGGTGCCGGTGATGATTTTATACCGATTTATCGGATATCGAAGTTATAACAGATAAAAGAACTAATACTAATTGCTATTTCGTTAACTACTCTAGCAAACCATATAGTTTTTAATGTCTGGGTCTGTCATTTAAAAAAATAAACAATTTCAAAAATACGTCACGACAATCGCGTGTGTTATTGTTTGGGCTGGTGATGTCGGTGTTTATTTATTGAAAACATACCGTAAGTAGCGTTTTTTAAGTTTACCCTGAATATAAATGTTTATAAACTATACTTTAAGGAGTAATTTCATGGTAAACATTAGAACCACTCAAACGGAATATTATCATATTTACCCAAGTACTCCAAAAATTTCATTAGTGCTTTTTAAGTGCAGGATTTGCGGTGTATTACTGCATTTTATTTGAGATGTTTTTGTTGTAGTACGGAGGGTATTTATTTAGCACAGCAGAATTATAATTTTTATTTTTAAAAACTTGTATTTAAACTGAATCCTTTTCCAATTTGCGAAACCAAATAGCCGCCATTTTGCGGTAGGATGAGCGCATCGCGTGAGCGGATAAACATCTTCTTTAGTCTGTTATTATATCCTCACATTGTTTGAGAAAAAGTCTATACATGCCTCGACGGGAACTGGGATTGCTGACTCGTATTAATACATGGCCTCTCTGGCGCTCTTCCTTGTAACTCATACTCGTCCAGTAATCCTTTATTTCCCGGCCTCTGCAATAATGTTACTGTCGGTACTCGCTCCGGCTCGTTACAGATTTTTGTAGCGAAAGTAGGAACTAACCACTTCCATACGTTATGGCAATGCACGTAATGTAAATTTTACAAACACAGTTGGAACTAATTGGGCCATCAATCATCAGCACCCAACAAAAGTGTATTATTTGGCCGTGTAGAGTCAGAACCCTATAAATAAATGATTGTGAAAACATCCCTTACAAATAGCCCGTCTTCGAAATCAATTACAGCGAGAGCAACGCAAACCTCCTACCACGAATCATTACAAGTAAAAGGTTTCATCCCCAATCAAGCCAAACCGTTTGATCAACGGAGGACGAACCCACCAAACGAACGAAGCTCACTTGAAAAGAACAACAGCCTCGTTTCAGGCCAAGGGTTTTGGTAATTCTGCGAAAATCGACTCGACAAGTAAAATCTTTAACTTCTCATTTCCGTAATTTTAACAAGGCAAAGATTGCTGAGAGTAATATGTATAAAAACTGTATTTTTAACAAATGGTACTATCGTTTTGAAAAATCAGAACTACTAAGGAAAGAGTTCATTTCGGTAAAATCTATTATAAGTTCGCTTATAGTAATAATTTATTTCGGATGTGTTCGATATGTGATTAAATGAGTAATAAACTTACAAACTGTGTTAATAATGCAACCGTGTTCATAATGGAACACAAATATAGCGGTAAAATTTCAAAAAGTTACGTTGTAGTATAGGTCTGTACTCGACGAACAACTTACGTTCTTGAAACGCCTATGTTTTTATTACGTATAAAATAGAACAGAATATTTGGTAACACAGTGTACTTATCTATGTAATGTAATATATACGTGAGAAAAAGGATAAAAGTGGCAACACGATGGAAGCACGTTGATAAATACAAATAGATGAATATCTGAGAGTAAAATCCTCCAACACTCCCTAAGGAGCTCGTCAAGGCGCCGTGACTCCCGACTGTTTGTACTTTTGGTAGTGAAAACACCATTAACGCCGCCGTGGTATAAATAAACAAATGCAAATAAAACAAATTGCACAAAGATGTCGACTCCACTCGGATCGTTTGAATAGTCGAGGACTTTGCCGCTACAGCTGATATCGCTCTTAGAGGACCTCGCAGGGCGCCATGCGGCCGCGCAGTTAGGCGGTGGCGGTGGGCAATACGAATACACTACGCGGGAATGTAAATCACGAACGGCGTGTGAGGCGCGTTATAGTGCCTGTATGTGATTCCACTTGCAGATTCAAGGAATATAAAATCATATAGAATCCGCCAGGAGGTTGTTTGTGTATGTTTATTTGTTATTTTTGAGTTAATGTTTATTTTTATGTTTTCATTGCACGCTTGTTGTCGTACATCTATCAGCGTACGACACTGCAGATGAATAAAATTAGCCTTTGTTCGCAACAGTATATTTAAAGACGGTGTGCGAGATGTTATTCCAATGAAGATACGAAAAAAATACTATGGACGCGCTTTAAAAGCCCGAAGGGCTTCTTCAGAGAATTTAATTAGAAGGTTTGTTTTTCTCGGTTAATGGAGTCCAGTAAAATGAAGAGATATTTTTAAATATTTTTAAGCGCACATGATTAATGGTTCTAGTCGCGACGGAACCCAGACAATAAAGACGTAATAATGTTGCAAATTGATTCAATTTGTAGTAAATATCTAAAACCTTATCCATAGATTAATGTTAGGTGCACCAGAAAGAAAAAATTATGCATCATCTTGCAAAAGTGAGTAATTTGAAAATGGCGAAGAATGTGTAAACACTGACAGCCACTAACGCCAGTGTGAGATTTACGACTGTTGTGAAGATAGACAAGCATACGCCTGTGCACGCGCCGCACGATAACTGATACCTAAACAAATTCCTGAAACGCCATTTTCGAAAACATACGGAGAAACAGCGTAAAACTAGACTTGATGATGATTTATACAAGTTATTTTCGTCAATCTAACTTTCGTAATCGGAATTTGATGGGTGGTTAATCTTGTACCAATGGCAAACGCGCATCTCACTGAAATATATCCGACGTTCTCGGCAATGAGGCGATTTACATATGTCTAACATCTGCAATCATTAATAAGGGTGATGTGTAATATTTTTACGCCAATATTACTAATTTGATTATTGTCTGTACACACCCCGTAATTGTATAAAATAATATTCTTGAACGAACCGGCGACGAGCAATCAAATTTAAATTGAAAACTGTAACGTTAAAGTCAATGTATTTATTTCTAAGGTTGAGTACGCTGTTGGCTGTACTTCTTTATTTTCCCTAGTTTCGTGAATAATTTTGAAAATGAATAAGACCTACTCCCGGCAACTTCGTTTTAATGTTCACTTCATCCATCACTCCAGTGACCTAATATTTTTGTGGTCCCTCCGCCCCTCGCTACATATCCCTCCCCCGTGGGAAATCACTAGATGCCACATACCGACCTCTTTTGTTTATTTATTATTCTTTTGAAAAATCTGTTTCTAATTACAGGCTTACGACAAGCGTTTGGTATTATTTTACAATAAGATTCGACTTGAAATTTATGCTCGGGTGATAGAATTTTAGAAACATTTATAATATATTTTAATTAAAAATGGGGTTTGTCCGAGACGACGGAGACGGTTTTTAAAGTGGAACGACTAGATCTAGTACTATTATATAAAAGGGCGTCCTTAACATATTCGGAAACCATTCCTCGTTGTTTGCTATTTATTTATTAATTTGACAACAAGCATCTGGATTAACAGTGGCAGCGGTCAATCGTTTTATATTCCATCGTTTTTTTCACTTGTTGACAAAAATGTGTAGATAGGTCGATGAGATAATTCGAGGTTTAATGCCGAAAAATAATTGAATGAGACGTGAGTCTTCATGGAGCAAAAACGACAGTAACTTTCGTATTATTATACTAAAACTTCAAGTCGAGAAACAGTCAAAACAATCAAAGTCAAAACAGTCAAAGTAAACTTTTCTATTAATTTAATATTATCATATTCTGAACAGTAAAGAACTGCTTTTTTTTCTTTACTAAATTAAAAATAGATCAATTAAAAGTAATAATTTCCTAAATAAAGTACGTTACTTATAAAAACCTATTTGCTGTCGAAATGGACACTGCAGTTATAATGGTTAATACGCAAACACAACCGTTGCGAAATACAGAACAAATCTTTTACTTCGAGAGTTATTTGTGCTTTGCGTGCTAGTAATTTCAAAGCATTCGGTAAATAAACAGGAGAAATCAGATGGACATACGAATATACGATATGTTAAAAAATATTTCTTTTTTTTATAAAATATAAGTGCACATTTGACCTCCATCTCACCTGGTGGAGCATGCACACTTAGATAATGCCTATTCACTCTCGGCTTGGAAAGGTCCAAGTCAAAACGTTCAGGGAATAAGTCTGCAGGCAGGGAATTCCACTCCATAGCCGTTCGCCATATAAATGTGGAAGTAACGCGTGCGAATCTTTGGAATATCCACAACATAGGGATGGAAACCAAGCCTGCGCCTAGTACCCCGATGATGGAAAGGGGAAGGCGGAATTAAATCGTGTAATTCCATCGCACACTCTCCGTGATCGTGTCGTCTCGTGAAAATACCGACAAGGAGGCAACTTTACGGCGGCGTTCAAGGCTTTGCAGCTTCGCCTCCACTAATTCCGAGTCACCAATAAGCCTCTTGACACGATTGTCAATTGAATTCAAAATGGCCATTTGATGTTTAGCAGAGCCATCCCAAAGGTGGCAGCAGTACTCCATGCACGACCGGACTTGTGCTTGGTACAGCTGAAGCAACTGTCCCGGTTTAAAGTAACGCCTTACCCTGGAAAGGATGACAAGCTTCCTTGCTGCATTTTTGGCCATGGATTCAATGTATCTGCGCAAGTTCAAATTGAACGACAGGTCCACTCCGAGTAGCTGGAGGCAGTCGGCTATCGCTATGGATATATCACGAAAAGTCGGAGTCAGCTCGAAGGGACTCCATTTTGTGCAAAATAGACACGCCTCGTTTTGGTAGCGTTAAATTTGACGAGATTGGCATCGCCCCAATCGGGGTCTTCCTGGAGTGTCAAATCCAAACAGCTAACCATGGACTCTCGACAAGACTGGATTTCCTCTCCACTGACCCTTGCATTGGTCAAGTACCTATCTACAACTGTGCTGTCATCAGCATACGCAAAGATACCTGGAATTAACATATCATTGATATGCAGCAGAAAGAGAGCTGCAAACAGTACGGAACCCTGAGGAACTCCGGCTATCTATCGCCATATGTTCGCAATTTTTTTTTTAACGCACTCACTCAACATAGCCCCGCACTAGGGAAACCCTGTGTCACAGGTGACATGGAAACACACATAGACAACCACAAATTACACCCAAACTCACGAGAGAAATAATTGTAGGCCATACAAATATTTCTCCCGGCCCGGGAATCGAACTTGGGGCCTCTGCGTGGCAGTCCGGCATGGTAACCGTTCGGCCACAGAGGCAGTTAAATGGTATTTAAACGGTATCTGAAGCATAATTAGGGCGAATGCGGTAAAAAGTTCGAGGAGCGTGAAAGCAACTTCTTCACGACGCGTGCGCTGCGCCGCCTTTACCATATTATAGCCTATTTTAATGAATGTAGTTTAGCATTTCATAGTAGCACCGACTACGCATTTTTAAAGAATTAATACAATTTCTTTATTTTTACATTTGAATAGCGCATCTATAGATTCCGAGTTCTTAGGTTTTTTATATGCATTTTATTGCAAAACCATAATGTACACATGAGATTTAATAACAAAGAAAAGACCAATATTATGAGCCCCTTCGGGAACGCAACACCAAGGAAAGGAAAGGAGAGAGGAGGAGCAGACCAGGGAAAAAAACTACATAAAATTTACATGTTAGTGATAGTATGCATATAACAATAATGTATAATACATATCGCGATTGTTATACATAGGAAACGGAACTATTTTTCGGATATAAATCGCGAATTTTTATTAATTTTTTTTCGAAACAAATGAACGGCAACGGGAGCACGGGACTTGTACTTACGGGACCAAAATGTTGGTATGTTTAAAAAATAAATACACACGATTTAGATCTAAAAATTGTCAATAGTCATTTATTAAGCTACAGTTTCATTGTTTTCCACGATATTAGAGATCTACTTCAAATGTTATCAGCAATCGTGACCACTTGTTGAAAGCGTATACGCTTTGAAACTTTCGCGTTACACTATACTAACATTGCCAACAAGGATAAACGCAATAAATGTTGAAAGCAGCACTATTTTCAGCGAAAGATCTAAGAAATTATTTCTCTTTGTTTCAGATTTGCAACCGTTCGTTTCGAGCAGGAACTTCACAAGTAATCACCCACGCAAAATGTGAGTATTACGGAGAGTAGGTATGTTGTGCCAACGAGTAATTAACGATGAAAGCCGCTTTGCGAAGGCCGCGATTTGCGCCACCATTATCACCGATATACATTTTCATTATACACCTGCGCACGTTAAGCTGTATTGTTTGCATTAGTACGTACTAGCACGAGTACAAGGTTTCTTATATTTTTTGTTTCTCTATAATAATAATATATGTAATAATAATAACGCACACACTCAACATAGCCCCGCACTAGGGAAACCCTGTGTCGCGGGTGCCATGGACACACACATAGACAATTACAAATTTCACCCAAACTCACGAGAGAAATAAATGTAGGTCACACAAATATTTCTCCCGGCCCGGGAATCGAACCTGGGACCTCTGCTTGGCAGTCCGGCATGGTAACCGTTCGGCCACGGAGGCAGTTAATACGAAATCTTAAAAGCTATAAACCGTTTTCTTTGTTTCCAGGTAAACATTGCTTGGTCATCTGCAATATCTACTTAGTGTGAAGCACCTCAGTCACCATGGCGGCTCTCGAGGAGTCGGAAGTGCACCTTGGCTACTGGAACAACAACTCTTTCGGATATTATGATGAGAACGGCACATACAACGGAACTTATGAGAACAGCTGTTCCAACCCCAACTTGCCCGTTGTGTACGTGATCACGCAAGTGCTATACGCGCTGGTGTGCGTGGTGGGCTTGCTCGGCAATACGCTCGTCATCTACGTCGTTTTGCGCTACTCCAAAATGCAAACTGTCACCAACATGTACATAGTGAACCTGGCCATCGCGGACGAGTGCTTCCTCATCGGAATACCATTCTTGATCGCGACGATGTCGCTGCGCTCATGGCCGTTCGGCCACTTCATGTGCAAAGCGTACATGATCTCCACTGGCATCAACCAGTTCACGAGCAGCATCTTCTTGTGCATTATGAGCGCGGACCGGTACATTGCGGTGTGCCACCCGATTGCGGCACCGCGCCTGCGCACGCCGTTCGTCTCACGTGTCGTCTCCGCTGCCGCGTGGACCGCATCTGCGCTCGTCATGATGCCCATATTTATGTACACCACGCTTATTCACAACGACAACGGTCTTTCGTGCAACATCGTCTGGCCCGAACCCGAAATCAACAAAGGCCAAACCACATTCACGCTGTACTCGTTCGCGCTTGGTTTCGCAGCACCATTAACGCTAATTTTCGTCTTCTACTGCCTCGTCATTCGCAAACTCAAAACCGTAGGACCCAAAAATAAGTCCAAGGAAAAGAAACGTTCGCACCGCAAGGTGACCAAACTAGTTCTGACCGTAATCGCTGTGTACGTGCTCTGTTGGCTACCATACTGGGCGTTTCAAGTGGCGCTCATTTACTCTCCACCCCAAGAGTGCGCCAATCAAATCACAATAACTGTCTTTTTGGTGGCTGCCTGTTTCAGCTACAGCAATTCCGCTATGAATCCTATCCTCTACGCCTTCCTCTCAGATAACTTCAAAAAGAGCTTTCTGAAGGCTTGCACCTGTGCAGCTGGCAAAGATGTAAACGCAGCGTTACAGGTCGAGAATAGTGTAATTCCTAGGAAAAAGGGTGGCGGAGCGGCTCGCGCGCAGATTCGTTCGACGTCGCAAGTTCGGGGCGCACTGACGACAGCGCGCTGCGCGGGAGGAACGTCCCGCTCTGAGGGGTCAACGGCGCTGACGTCGCGCTTGGCCACGACCAGCGAGGAGCTGCCTCTGGAGGCGCGCCCTCCAACCCTGACGCCACTCATAGCGCTCAACGGGGTATCGCATTCGCGCCTCTGAGTGCGGGCCTCGCGTCACGTTCGTGAGCCCTCCGCTAGCGTGCTAGAGGAGGACACCCTCATAGTGTCTATCGATTAGAACTAAAGACTGGAGGCTTCTGACCACCGCGCGGGACTCGAGCCCAGTCCCCTGCGGGGTTAAGACGCTGTTCGGCGCCGCCTCTGGCCGATCAGGGCTACGACCGTCGTCGGTCGCTGAGTCGCGAGTCGTACTCCTCGGACTGATCGTGGCGTGAGTGTTGGTGCAAGTGTTTGTCGATGTGAAGTGACCGGCACTGGTTCGGCCTAGGGTTGTAATGAAGAATTTATTAAACTGTAGTTAGTTTTGTATCGATTAGCGATTGTAAGCTTCACTGTTTGTATACCAATAAATTTACGATGTAAAAATGTACATATCGTGTAAATATCCATAAGTTGTCACAATTGTAATAAAAGTACGTTCGTGAAAAAGTGTACAATTTTATTTAACTCAATTAATTACCAACAAAGTTTCTTTGTAATGAAAACTAAATAGAATAGCTATGAATGGAAAACTAAACGTTAGTA